GTTTAGCGTTGCCTGTGCGTGTGTGTAAAGACCAAGAAAAAGAGTCTTAAGTGCTTTGTCTTTTCTTCCCTTGTTGTTTTAACAGGTGACTTACTTCACCTCTCTGTCCAGACAACTGGAGTTTGAGGGAAACACCAAGAGTGTGATCCCGCTCGTCTCCATAACCTATTTCTTAACAATAACCTTTTCAGTCATCTCCTGCCTAAGGTAAAATACCGTTTAAGCTAAGGATACTCTTATGTCTCACCACCCTCATAGTGAAGAATTTTTTCCTAATATCTAATGTAACTCTCTCCTGTCAGCTTAAAGCCATTCCCCTTTGTCCTGTCACTACATGCCCTTGCAGAAAGTCCCTCTCCCATTCATCTGTTCTCTGAAGCTATCAGTTGTTTCTGTAGTGCCTGCCTCATAAGAATCCTTTTTGTAGTAATGGTCTTGGAACTATTTAAAGTTCTATTTAAAGAACCCCGCTACACTTTATCTTTTGAAGACATCTGAGGTGCTGCAGCTTTGGTACTGAAAAACGCTAGGCAAAAGTAAACGTTTTGAATTATGACCAGGTTCTACTTTGTCCTGTGTGGGGAGGAGGCTGGAAGCGTACTCTAGCCAGCCTGGCAGCGGCAGATCTGCACAAGAGCTTCTGTTGAATAAAACTTGGCATGTCCAGTGGAGACATTCACCAAACAGATGCAGAAAAGTTGTCATTTGGGGAGGAGGGAAGAAATAAGTTGTGCAGTTCCTAAGGTTGTTCTACTACTTTCATAGCTTCTATCCTTATCCTGCCCACAGGGGTCAGTTGGAATGGACACAGGGGAGTGGGAGGAGGAAGTATATCATGTTAAGATCTGTTTGCACCTTTTTTCTGCCACCTGCTCAGTTAGAGTACAGATGAATGAGCACAAGCTTCATAGATCACTGCAAGGCTGGGTACAGCTTTAAGTATTCTGCTTGTTAGGAGAGTCTGAGCCTTTACCTGCTTCTCACAGAGAACTCAGCTTGCCCTTTCTTCATGCTGGTATAAGGTGACCCATTATACATTTGAAAACCCTACAGCTGTGCTTGAGAAAGAAAGTACTCAGAGGGTGGGCTTATTGGTTTAGTGGTTGCATCAACATCATGCCCTTAGGCTATATGATTTCTGGATATCAACTGTCTCACACATGGCTGTTTGTGAGCGCAGAGCAAGGGTGGTTCCACCAACACACGCTTCTTGCCTTGGTAGCGAGAGATTCTCTTAAAGTTCAGAAATGGTTACAGCCTGGAAAACATTACTGATGAGGTAAGAAGCAACTCTTTACCCTCCCACTGTGGTGGAAAGCTTCCCACTGGGAGCATTTCATGGGGAGTCCTTGAGACGGCTCTTGGGTGTGTCCGAGCAAATGGCTGTCTGAAAAGAAAGGTTCTCTACACGGCACTTACTGCCTGGGAGATGCTTCCGTACTATAGTGATGCTACACCAAGAATCCATGTAAAAGGACAGAGCTTCTAAAATTAGTAATTTATTGGGTGACCCTCAGTCTAGCCTCTAATGGGGGGAGCATACATATCTTCATTTGCCAGCTCTCTTGTTATTGATGCGAAGACTGGTACACATCTTTTCAGTTACATATGTAACTGGCCAGCATTAATAATGTATTTAGCACCTCGTATGTAAGTTAATCTTATTTAATGCTCACACCTCCTAGCAGCTTTTATCAAGAGTTCTCTTCCCATAGAGAGTATCATTGATATCTGTGCACTTGTCATGCCAAGCACAAATATTGATGAAATATTTGACATGTAACCAATATATTCCTTAAAATATTTTCAGACTGAGCTGTATAAGAAACAATGTCTGGCTTGCATGCTGTGGAGTGATTTCTGCTGGTTTAGCTGTGTTAAGCAGCTTTGGATTGCTGCTCTTCTGTGGAGTGCCGTTTGTGGTCACAGTAGCAAATGCACCGTTTCTTATTCTCGGTAAGTCGAAAAAGTGAGTCACATTCAGTTATGAAGACTAAACCGGAGGTAAAGCACCCTGACGGTGTGACTCTTACTTGATGGAAGCATCAGGTCATACATACACAGTTCCACGCTGCAGTGAGGGGAGGAGACACTCGGAGCTCCTGCGGGCAGGGGCGCTGCTCAGCTCAGCGTACCCGCGCTGGGCCTGCAGCTGGGCTACGGCAAAAGGGCAGCTCTTCCCCAGAAACGTTGCCTGCGCTAGTCCCACTGCTACGGCATGAAAGCTGTAAGTGAGAGGGTGGTAAGGTTAGCACTTCCGGCATTGTCCTAGTATCCCTGGTGATTTAGCCATGATGATTAGTCACTTAACTAGTAACTAGCTCAACCAGGTTCTGTCTCTGCATTCCCCTGGATCATCCCCTGCTGTTTTCTATAGGTGTACTACAAACATTTCATAGAATCATAGAATAGTTAGGGTTGGAAAGGACCTTAAGATCATCTAGTTCCAACCCCCCTGCCATGGGCAGGGACACCACACACTATCCAATACCTATACCCTATTTATCTATCTCATTAGCTCTGGAGAAGTTTGTACTCCAAACCAGTTTGTTGTAGTACTGTTCTATGAGGCTGCTGAATTTATCAGAAATCTAAGCAGGTACAGAGGTCTTCCCCAAACCATTCACCTCCTGGCCACCTCCTTTTGCAGTATAGCGAGAGCTTCCTACTTCTCTGCTGTTAGTCAGCCTCAGGGTAGCTCAACAGCAATACCATGAACATGTAGGCAACATGCAGCTTGTGCTACAGTAGCACTGACTTAACCCAGTACCTGAATTATGAGGTGAATATGGGGAATAAGTTACCATGAGGTTTTGTATCACATTTTTAGAGGGTAGTCTTTGGTTGGATAAACTTGGGCCTGAATATGGCTTGAGCAATGAGCAGGACTCTCTAATTTCAAATGAGAAAACCATTTTGTTTTGTTAACGTGAAATTTCCTCTGCAATACAAAGACTATGTACTGAACAGTCTCATTTAGCTATACAGCTGAAGAGATGCACCACTCAATGCCACCAGCTCCCCTCCAAAAAATGCAAGGAAGTATCATCACATCATATTTGCACAGGTTGCTTGACAGCCAGTGCTGAACTTTCCAAACACCCTTAGCTAATGTAGCTGCAAATAAATTACTGCTTTTAAAATCCTTAAGTGGTCTCCTATATGATAAAGTCATGTGGTATTTTCTTGGTCTTGGTCTCATGCAGAGGGAAGCACATGGAACTCCTGGAATGATAGAAGCTCTGCATCATACTAGATGTCTGATGCAAATGCTCCTTGGGGCGCACAATGTTTCTTTGTTTCCTGCATAATTCAAATGCATTTTGTATTTGCTTTTGTTTGCTTATCAATTGCAGAAGTGATACATTTCAGAAGGACCCTTTTATATACTTGGGAAGTGGCTTACAACAGTCTCTTCAGATCTTTCTAAATAACATGCAGACTTTTCCTTGCATTAAAGCAAATGAATTATCGGTACTTTAGATAAATTGCTTTGAAGTCTGCCTGCTTTCTGGAAGCAGCCTGCTTGCTGCCATCCAGTAGTACCTTCTGATGTGCTGCTTAATTCATCTTTGCATAGGTACTGACAACTGTCTGTTCAGGCAGCAGACAGTGATTTCATTTATTCTTTTTATGCTCAGCTATGTCATCTGTGCTTGCTCCTCTGTTCATGTGGTCTTGCTTTCCTTTCTTGTGTGATTAATTTTCAGGGAATACAAGAGCCCTTGATAGAGTAACATTGGCAAAATACTGAGAGGTCTGTGAATTAAAATCTCCATTGTTAGCAGAGCTGAGAGAGGCACACTGGCTCTTCCTTTTGAACTGTGACTCTCTTACTCTTGTGTCTTAGCAAAAACTCTAGGCCAGAATCCAGTCTTCCTGGCAGGGTTTCGCTGGACTCTGGTAGTAATATATGTGAGCACAGCAGTATAAATGTGAAGATAAATGAATAATAAATCATGAATAAATGCTCAAACATAAACTGGAGAGAAGACAAGTGGAGACCAAAGAGCATAAATAAATAACCACTGGAAAACTGGGATCACTGTTTTCCCAGGTGATGCCAACTGTTCCACGTGTCTGCTGAAGGCAGAGCAAGAAATAACTGGTCAGATTTGTTGTGGTGATAAAAAAGAGATTCCAGAAGTAATGGGGGACACTTCCAGTGATGAGGATACTTGAGCATCAGAGTAAAGGATGCATTTAAATCTATGTACTCTACATCAGTGGACACCTGGACAGCAGGTACATGCATATCAGAGGTAGACTAGGTGTGCTCAGTCCTTCAGCAGAGTAGGGTGAAGGATAAACACATCAGGTCACCAGGAGTTTCTGAAATGTAATAAATTCAGATACACACAAAAGATTTTTCCCCCCTTGCATCAGCACTGCAGCAATGTTAGTAGCCTAGCTTTCTTTTCCAAAATTTTATGCAGGCTTAAACGTGAATAATTTTGTGTTTGTGTTGGGTGTTAGTGGCAGCTGACATTTAGAACTCAGTGTTAACTTTTTCTGCTCTTGCAGGAGTTGGTGTTGATGATATGTTCATCATGATCGCTTCCTGGGAACAAAGTTTAAGAAAAAAAGATAAACCTGATGTTAAATCTCTGCTGGCTGAGACTTACTCAGAAGCAGCACTTTCTGTGACCATCACCACTCTCACAGATGTTTTGGCCTTCTTCATTGGCACCTGGACTGCTTTCCCATCTGTGAGATCATTTTGCCTCTATACAGGCACTGCCTTTGTCTTCTGCTATATATATACCATGACCTTCTTGGGGGCAATTATTGTGTTAAATCATAAAAGGGAGCAAGGAAACCGTCACTGGCTAACTTGTATGCCTGTGGGAGTAGATAAAGGCCAGGCTGAGAAGTCCTGCCTGTACAATGCTTGCTGTATAGGCAACTGTTCTGGGCAGTCATCTCAGCCAGAAAGTGAACATCCAATGACCATGTTCTTTACAAAGTATTATGGCCCTTTTTTAACAAATAAATGGATCAAGTCACTTGTGGTGTTGCTGTATGGAACATATTTGGCTGGCAGTATTTATGGATGTACTCAGATCAGGGAAGGTATCGATCTTAGAAACCTGGCAAATGATGACTCTTACGTTATTCCATACTATGATGACGATGATGAATACTTCTCAGCATATGGGCCCAGGGTCATGGTGGTTGTTACTGAAAGTGTAGATTACTGGAATGAGACTGTTCGTCTTGGCATTGAGAAGTGCACCCAGGATTTAGAGGGCATTTCCTATGTAGATAAGAATCTTTCACATTCATGGCTGAGAGCATACATAGAATATGCCAAGCAACAGTCACTAAATATAAATGATAAGGGTATCTTCATTAGTAACTTAACTGGACTGTTCCAATATGTTCACACTTTTGAGTGGGACATTAACAAGACTCACGATAAAATAGAAGCTTCACGTTTTTTCATCCAGACTGTGAATGTGACCTCAGCCATTGATGAGAAGAATCTTGTAAATCAGCTGAGAGACACAGCCAAGCAGTGCAGCATTCCATTAATGGTGTACCACCCAGCATTCATCTACTATGATCAGTACCTGGTAATAGTGCAGAACACCATCCAGAATGTCATCATTGCTGCCGGGGCAATGCTTGTTGTCTCCCTTTTGCTTATTCCCAACCCACTGTGTTGCTTGTGGGTGACTTTTGCTATAGCTTCTGTTATAGTTGGTGTTGCTGGTTTCATGACATTTTGGAACGTTAACCTAGATTCCATATCCATGATCAACCTGGTCATTTGTATAGGGTTTTCAGTGGATTTTTCTGCTCACATTTCGTATGCCTTCGTTGTGAGTAGAGAGTCATCAGCCAACGACAGGGCAGTCGAAGCTCTGTCCTTGCTAGGTTACCCAGTATTACAAGGTGCAGTTTCTACTATATTAGGAGTAGTTGTCCTGGCTGCAGCAAAAACCTACATCTTTAGGACATTTTTCAAGATCATGTTCCTTGTTATTTTGTTTGGGGCTCTTCACGGTCTTGTTTTTATTCCGGTGTTTTTAACCTTTTTTGGAAACTTTGGCAGAATACCCCACAATACTGAATGTAAAACGGAAGCACCTAGATATAGAGATGATGAAGATTGTCCGTGACTAAGTTGAATGTAAAATATTTGTATTCATTGTATGTAAATGTAAGCAAATCATTTGTAAATGTAAAATACGTATATTTATTATGTGTGGAATAAAACGCAGTGACTTTCAGGGAATAGAAGAAATGGAGAAAATGAAGGACAGAAAGATAAATACACCTGAAAGCAAAGGCTTCAGAAAAGCCAGGGAATTAAAAACAACAGAAGAAATGAAAATGCAGAGAATGGATTTGCATTTCTCATTTTTGTGTGCTTGGCTAAACCTTAATGTTGTTAAATATATCTTTTTGTGACTTGTTTATTGAATGTGTTAAGATTATTATAAATATTGATCACTGCATCAGCTCTGTGGATTATGTTACAGGTTTATGAGGCAATGCACACAGTGGGGAATAACAACTCCCACAGGCTTGCATTTCCTGCCTCTTTACCTTGATGCTGTAAGTCAGCCCAACATTGAGCCTAGAGACAATTTCCCCCCATGAGGGGAGACTCAGACTTGGTGGTTTTACAGCAAGATTACGAGAGGTCAGAACTGCCTTGGACTGCAATGACTTGTAAGCCCCCTATGAAGTCCCCTTCAAAGGCTTCTGCTGCAGCATGAGAAACCTTAAGGGAAGTAAAACTGACTCACATTTTCCAGCCAAATCTTTCTTTTCTTGGTGTCCTGTTTCCTAGCTAAGATTAAATACCATATAGCTTTAAGATGGTTGTGTGTCGCTGCTATTGGCTGCAGTTTGCAAAAAGAGATGCTGTAGGTGATAGAACTTCTGTGAACCTCCTGGGTGACCACAACAGCAGAAGCTGTGCCATGGCATGACAGGGCAAGGATTCACCAGAGAGGATCACACCCTGGCTGAGGACAAAGTGGAAAAGCAATTCAGGTTTAAGCTTCATAAACTCTATTGTGGTCAACAGTAACAGCCCATCCTGTGACGTGTCAATAGAACAGAGGAGCTCGCACTGAGTAACAGCTAAGACTGTAAGAGGTGGTCTTTTAACCTGTAGGTAAAAGACAGTGGATGAGAAATCAATTCATAATTTGTCATCAATATAATGAGCTACCCCTTGGAAATCAAATGAATGATGGTATCTGGTGTTTGTAATTTTGGAAAAATTGGTCTAGGAGTTACTAAACCATTTAGTGCAGATTTGCAGCTGTGGAGCATTTCTTCTGAGAGATGCAGTAAATGTGACAGAGCCAGGGTCTGCCTCTGTTCCGGGTGGATTTCTGACCACTTGCATGAGACCCAGGAGAAGGGGCAGAATCCTTCCCTTTTCTCTGTGATGTCTCTGCCTGCAGGGACACTGACTGCAAGATGGGTCACTCTAGTAATTAACTGCCAGTACAAACTGAAAATATGGATACTAATTTCCAGAGCAGTGAACCACAGTCTAAGGCATTAATTCCTATTCAGAGGGACTATGAAAGCTACATAACAAAGCTCAAGCTAAACCTGTGACCAGTTACTCAATACTGGCCGAGTCTTGAATGCAACAAAAGCACTTAACGAACACTTTTTCTGTCCAAATGCTGTTATTAACCAAGTTATCACAAAAAAGGAAGTTAAAATCAAGCCATAGAACTTCTCAAAACCTGTTGATTCTGTGCACAGCCTGGGGGGGTACTGGGGGGGAAAAGTAAGCGCCAGACACTACATGGAGTAGTTCACCTGAAACTTCACCGTGAATATACAAATGCTACTTCATGGTAGTTGGTCAAGTACTACACTGATAGATGAAAATAAAACATTGAGATGCTCTGAAGAGCAACGACTACATCATAAAGACAGATTACAGATCCTCTTGTAAAAGCAAAGTGAAATCAAGCAGGAACTGTTTTTTGAAGGAGTACTTAATGTGCCCTTCAGCTGATGTGTCTTTCCATACCTGCTTTTATCCCTAGGTCCTAGTCATTGCCCTACCACCCACGTCTACCTAAAACTGCTTGAGAAATCTTGTATGAAATCCTTTGCAAAAGGTATCCTGAATTTTCCTGCAAATTTCTTTGTCCAAAGAGGGTTGTGTTTCTTTCTCAACCCAGTTTTCCTGTGTTACCTTCCTACCTGGAAACATACTCAAATCAGATCTGGGTGTGTTGTTTCATCCTTAAGACAGCTGAACATTCTATTGTGAAAAGTAGCTCTGTAATACTGGGTAAATATTTCTTGAAAAAGTTAGAAGTCTTACAACAGTCCAGAGTCAAAGAGCAAGTTTTCTTCACAGAAGGAAAAGTAGTTCTTGAAATAGTAGTCAAAGACTGAAAATTAGTACTAGTTTTAGAAAAAAGTCTGCTCCTGAGGTGGAATTCAAAACCCAGGAGCACCACAGCCCATGCAGTACATTACCAACTCTCAGGATTACAGTCAGCAGCATTACATTTCGAACTTTACTCCCAAATTCTCTAACCCCCCCCCCATCAATGCAGAGGGAATGGAGGTTGTGGTCACTTCATCACATGTTGTCTCTGCTGCTCCTTCCTCCTCAGAGGAGGACTTCTCACACTCTCCAGCGAGGGGTCCCTCCCATGGAAGACAGTTCTCCACAAACTTGTCCAACATGAGCCCTCCCAAGGGCTGCAGTTCTTCACATACAGCTCCAGCGTGGGGCCCTTCCATGGGTTCAGTCCTTTAGGAGCAGACTGCTCCAGTGTGAGTCCCCTGCAGGGTTGCAAGTACTGCAGCAAACATGCTCCAGCATGGGCTCCTTTCTCCATGGGTCTTGCCAGGAGACTGCTGGGCTAGGAACACAGGATTCCACAGCCGCCTTCATGCATCCCCCTGCTCCAGCGTGGGGTCCTTTCCGGGCTGCAGGTGGAGATCTGCTCCACTGTGGATCTCCATGGGCTGCAGGGACACAGCCTGCCACACCATGGGCTGCAGGGGAATCTCTGCTGCAGCACGTGGAGCACCTCCTCCCCTCCTTCTGCACTGACCTTGCTGTCTGCAGGGTTGTTCCCTGCACATGTTCTCACTCCTCTCTCTGGCTGTGGTTGTTCAGTTTCCTTGTTCCTCATCTTAGCTGTTATCCCCGAAGTGCTACCACCATCCCTGATGGGCTCAGCCTTGCCCAGCAGCTGGTCCATCTTGAAGCCAGCTGGCATTGGCTCCATCAGACACAGCGAAAACTTTGAGCAGCTTCTCAGGGAAGCCACCCCTGTAGCCCCCTTCTAGCAAAACCTTGCCATGCAAACCCAGTACTGTGGTCTCCTACATCTGTACAATGATTATATGAGGAGGAATTTCAGCTCCTGGATACACCAGTACCTAAAATAAGCAAGGCTCTTTGAAACCCCCCCGACACCACATGCACACAACCACATAGGTGGGGCACTAACATCTTCAGTAACACCTCTGCTGTTAAGTTGGTCAGAAAGCAAAGGTACCTTTTGCATTTGATGGTTGATCTCCAACAATCTTCTTTTATGACCCACTGAGATACCGCCTTTTTTTTTTTCCCTTTTGAGACAGTGCTTACTTCATCTTTGCATATAGCAAGCAGCTTTTGAAGGAGAAAAGTTAAGTTAGATGTCAGTGACTTACACTCCAAACCAGATCATCCGATACAGATTTTGGAGACTTCAAAAGTGGTTTTTTGTTACTTTTGTTTCTAAACACAGATTCACATTATTTATCTGGAAAAGTTCCCATTCAAGACCCACTATTGAAGCAGCAATCGAAAAAAAGTCTGAATTTCTAGGGAGAACATTCCCTGGAAATCTCATCAGAGAGAGTGCAATTTGGCTGTCATTCTCAAATTTATTTACAACTTCAAATGTTTTATACACCTCAATTTACACAGCAGGGAACTTGGTATTACATTTTATAGCCATTTACAATGAATAAAAAGAAAACCAATAAGCATAATTAAAATTAACCTTTATTACTTCAAAAACAGATGCCAAATATGCAGTATATTTCTGTTTCTGTTGGCAAACTCCTAAAATACAGGTACAACTGTAACTAGTCAGCGTAGACATTTGGTATACTGGTTTATAACATTCGGAAGTTCTCCCACACTGCACTGGGATGTCACTAGTAAGCTGACAAAAATAGGCAAATAGAAAGTTATCCTGGTTTTGAAGGAAAAAAAAAAAATAATGCATGTGCTCTTACTAAAAAACTAGGTTATAATCAAGCATTACACTCAGAAAATTGTAAAATACTATGTTACTTCTAGTTTTAAGTGTAGCTATCAATTCCCATTCACGTTTATTGGCACCAGCCCCACTATTTTAATGTCCAGTATGGTAACCTCCAACATCAATAAACTCATAAAGGCATGTTCTGCAACAGTTTATCATCCCAAGAGTCTACGATTAACTGTGCAGAAAGATTACGATCAAGATGTGTTATTCCTAAAAACCAGTTCCATGAGACCAGAAGAATACTGGCATATGATTGCTCGCAATCACTTCCACTTGATTGGAAACTTCTTGTTTTGAAAATCTTTTTGTTATCATCTTGGAATTTCCAGAGATTTCTGTAAAGGTTGAAAGACAAGGTTTTTTCCCTACTTCTACTGTAGAACAGAACTGGGAATGTTATTTGAAACAACACATGCTTCAAACATTTTCTGAACTACTCTTCAGTGAGCAATATTACTCCCTTGGAAAAAATTATGTGTTGGATTATCAAACGCCCATACATAGTATTAGCAGAATCTAGTTCTGTAGAACCTCCAGCAGTATAAAAGCACTGTCATACATTTACTGCAGTAATAAAAACTCCAAGACTCGTGCCAGCAGCACATCAGAGGTCACAGGTATTTCTCTTACCCCTGCCATGGGTCTGCCCAAAACATGGTCCAGAGAGGCTTAGCCACGTTTAGCCTGTTGATTTTGCATTATAGATCCTCTCCCAGCCATACATGCATGTATTTTAACCCCAAGAGCACTGAAAACACAATCACTAATGGTTTTGTCTAACACGGGACTCCCACAGTTCCCTTTAATAGAGATGCACTGTGTAGCCTCTTCACTCTTAGAGATGTTTTGTTGCCTTTCCAAGTCAGAAGTCTTCTTTAAACGCGACCTCTAGCTTCAGAGTATGAGCATTAGTTAGACTAAATACTAATGTTTAACAAATCAACCTGTCACTCCATAAAACATTCTGCAGCATGTATTGTGGGGTATCACTTCAAACGTACATGTAGCGGCATGACCCAAGAAGCTCTGCCAAAACACACCAGTGTATCTGCATGTTTTTATTCTCAACTTCAACACAATTGACTGAACCAGAACGCTGAATTCAACCCTGAGTTTTATCCTTCTGAATAACTTATTGTGGGAAGAGTAGAAGGAGCAGAGGATGAGGAACTTGCTTTATTTTGTGTGTCTTATTCTGATGAGACACAACAAATAGATGAATAACAGAAGCTCACAAGAGACAGAATATTAAAAAGTCGCTAATGCCATACACATCAGGAAGGGAAAAAAAGGCTCTATGCTGCATAAGACTACTGCATTGCTAGATGTACATTCTTCAAATTATCAGTTACTGTATCCCAGAAGTTATCATCTTACTTCTAGTTTTTTTCCCTCTAAAACAATTTGGATTTCTTTGGCATCCAAAGTCTCGTATTTCAATAAAGCTTCTGCTAAATTCTTGTGCTCTTTTGCATGAGTCTTCAGGATGTTCTTTGCTCGCTCATATGAATCCTAATGTTAAGGGGAAAAAAAAAACCAAAAGGTGTGAGGAGATTCTGAGACTTCAGAACAAAAACAGCAGCAAGATTCCACTTTAAATATCATTTCCAGCTTGAAACAAGCATTTGAAGTGCGTATGTTCATACCTAGCACAGCTCTTCTCTCAAAGATTTAAAACCTAGCTGGCATAAATCAAAAAACCCCAAACAAGAAATAAAAACCACCACTACACTTCATGCCACCTTTGCATTTTGTAGAAGTAGGACTAAAAAGAAAATCCTGAGAAAAATCTTAATACATATGATTTAGAAAAGACTTACTAGAGTTCAAAACTTGCTGATTGATATATTTGGTTTTACATTATGAGCAACGCTACAGCATTCAAGGAATGTTCCTCAAAGACTCAGATTTTTAAAAGCTTATGAAACTCTCGAAGTATTAATACGTACTTTTAGAAAGATGGAAGGTACCCAACAAGTTACCAGTTGCTGCAAATGGATGCTTGTTGACAGCATTGCCAACTTTAACTTCTAGTTTTACATAGATAGTTCTTACAAAACCAAGTTAGTTCAAAATCAGCTACAGCAAAAAAAGTGTTTATCATTTAAATGTTTTAAAGAAACCAAAAAGTACCAAACTAACTCAGATTACCAGACCAGTGATCTGAAAGTTATGTGGTTATTGATGTTACAAACTTCCCCAAGCAGCTGATACTGACCACTGCAAGGAACAGGTTATTGGAAAAGGCAACTCTCTGATCCAATATGGCCACTCTGATGATTCTGTACCAAACCATCTAGCTGCAAGTTATGAAATGTGGGAGTAACACAAAACATTCTCATCTCTTCTCAAATATTTTATAGCAAAACTTTTTTTCCTATGAACTGAATAGCAAAACCACAAATCCTGACCAAACATAAGAGGAAGTCTTAAAGAATATATTAAAGAACCCAACACCATCGGCTTGTTTCTCACCACTTGTCCATAACAACCACCAGGAAGTTTTTATATGCAGGGATTTAAACTTGCAGCTACATTAAATAGTCGGGAATGCTTTCATCCACCTGTTTATTTTCACCAATACACAATTCCAAACTGAATAATTAAGCAAACTGATACTCAACTCATCTCAAAATAAATGTATTCAAGTGGAGGGGGAGAGAACCTTACCCGTAGAAGCGTTCTTACTTCCTGTTCAATTGCAGATTGAGTTTCAGGGCTAACTTTCCCCGCATCAGTATAGGTCATAACTCCAAGCTAAACAACAACAACAAATACCTTTATCTTGCCATTATTGCAGTAACACACATAAAACACTTAAGAGCTTCATCACCTATTGTTTCTATGTGCAAAGTCATTACCTGTACACTTGCTAAAGTGCTTGAACAGAAGCAAAACAAGAAGCCTATTCATAAACTATGTAGTCGGTGCAGAGTTCTATTTCAACAGGTCACAATACAGAGCCTGATTAAGCATCTTCTTATTAAAACAAAACAAAACAAAACAAAATCCCTAAACTACTAATGCTTGGGTGGGTAATAGAGATGACTAAATAAGATTCTTTCAGAAGTCTAGAAAACTCAACATTACTGTCATAATCCCCAAGATTATTCTCTATTCCAAAACATTTCATTTTATTATAAACATTTTCTGCAGACATTAGTAACTTCCAAGGAAATTTTGAGCTGAAGATCTTCCAAGGTAATTTTTAAACTGTCAAAGGTTTTCCAGTTGAGTTCTCTGTAGCAGGGCCAGCCATAAAGCTTACTTTCTTTTTTTGACAGAACTACTTAGTGTCTGTGATCACTGATAAATAAGCATTTAGTTACAGAACATTTATTTGTATCAAATGAGTATTTAAGGATTGCTGATACTACCTTCTCGCTCATTCCAAATCTAGTCACCATCAGTCTGGCAATTTTAGTAGCATTATCAAAATCACTGGAAGCACCTAGATATAGAACAGATGTAAATCATGTTATGGAAAGCAAGTTAAACATGCCATTCCACAGCTTCGATCACAGACTCTTTTAACTACCAATCAGCTGACCTGTTGTGATGTGATCACTTCCAAATATGAGCTCTTCTGCTACTCTTCCTCCCATACAGACATCCATCTGTGCAAGCAACTGGGATCTAGTTTCACTCCATCTGTCATTTTCTGGGAGCAAAGATACCTGTAAGATTCAGAACTGTGGTCAAGTAACAACAAATGGAAGAAATACTGAAATGGCCTGGAAAACAAACATTCTTGTTTACATCCAAAGCAGATAAAAGGGCTTTCATGCAACAGTTAGAATGCTCTGGGCCTGCTCCTAGTCTGCACATTCATCAAGTTTGCCTGGAGGTGTTTAATCTACCCGCTGAAATAGCCTCCTACAGACCACGAGCACCACATAAAAGCAAGCAACTTAAACCTACAACCAGAAAAACCAGAACAATCTATTCCATTCAT